CATGTAGTCTGTACGTATAATTAGCAACGGCAGTCGAGCTGGGTTATTTGCCATAATTTGCTTATTGATTTTGAGAAGTCGCCCAAAGAACGGATCTGCCAGGGCCGCCCCAGTCACATTCTCTTCCAAAAATGCCTGGTCTTCGGACACGCCGTGGATCAGTTTCGAAATTAGTGGGGTGACACGAACTAGTTTTTCATATGTTGTGCGCTCTAGTGTGACAGGAGCTATGCTATAGGGACAGTGTCGCGCTGTCCCATCAGCATTTCGTAGGGCGACCCCATGCATAAGCTCCCATTCACCTGTTTGGTTGATTGTCGCCTGGTCAATTGCAGGAATATTTTCTTTTCTTTCCATCATATTGAATATATTGTTTTGTAAAATCTTATGGTGTTGTTTGTTGTATTGATTTGTGTACCATGCAGCAATACCGTGTGTGTTTTTGTGTGTTTACTGTATATGTGAGTATGTCCGATGTGGTATTTATGTTTTTTTTGTCAGTTTCTGGCTTTCTGCATATCAAGCCCTTGTGTTTATTCATTCCACGCCTATAGCTCTGATGGCGCCTTTGCGAGTAAAAAAGATGAGTACACAGAGTCACAGACTCGTCAAAAGACGAAATGAGTAAATGACAAAGCCCGAAAGGGCCGGGCATGTAGGATTTTCCCGAGGGGTTTTTTTCATCGCAGGCTGCAGCCTCGTACTCGCAGTCGCACTGTCGCAGCCGCGGGGCAGAAGCGTTCAGCGCTCAGCGCTGTGATAAACTGAAACAGGATTATGTATTTACTACTAGAGATTATTTAGGTATTTATGTAAATATATCATATTCCATAGCCTCCTGAAAAAAGAACATTCTCAGTTCTGCCTCATGGCATCCTACAAACAAATGATAGGCCATAGGGCAATGGGCAATTGGGCATACATAGGTGCCTCTCATCTAGAGAGAGTAGCTATTCAGTAGGAGTCTCTACTACTAGTAGAGAGTAGAGGGAATTTTTTTTGTTTTTTCCCCGTTGGGGGGGGGGGTTTAAAAAATAAACAAAAATCTACACGAAAAACGAAAAGATCAAAAGAATCAACTCTCAACTTCTCAACAGTTCTCAAGTCCAAAACTCGGAGGTTGAATGCTTTATCACCAATCAGCTATCTTTTTGATAACTTCTGAATTTATCCATAATTCATATATATTATACTATTCGCGACCGTCGGACGCCAGTCGCCGGTATGTAGCCAGTGGCTCTCTCAGAGAGAGAGAGAGAGAGAGAGAGAGAGAGAGAGAGAGAGCTTATTTAGTACGCCACTCGATA